GAGTGAAGAAAACCAGAGCCCCAAAAGACACTCAAGGAGCTTTAAATCTGCTGCAGGAGGAAACTGCTGCTTCCACTGGGAGCCAGCCCTGGCTGGGCAGTGTGATGGGAGCTTCCCAAAGTCAATAGAGCCCTTGGATCTTAAGGACGTGCTGCAATAACTCCCTTGGAATGTTTCAGTTTTGAGACAATAAAGCTGTTATATCTAAATTGAGTTATAGGTATCTGATGTTACTCTATTCGGTTTTCATTGCCTTTTGCTTAGGAAACTAAATACCATGATGCATAATAATAATTAAAGATTGGCAGATGAGCAGGAAATCAATCCATGTCTCCTGGGCAGATATTAACTCTCATTCACTTTTTTGTTTGTTTGTTCCTTTTTACAAACATGCAGCCACACTGCCTTACCCACACTGAATTAGCAGAGCTCACTGACGGATGCCCTCACTGACGGAGCATGGCTGGAACTGCTGCTCCCTGGAAGAGCTTCCAGCATCCCCTGTGACCCCTCTGCAAATGAAGTTTGCAGAACAGACTCTCCTCCCTTTCAGAAGCTCTCTCAGTACACAGATGTCACTTGCAGCTCTTACAGCCAGAGTGAGTGACATGCCTGAGAAAATAAAAAGCCTCTGCTCACGTGGTTTGCAGAGGCAGATTAAAGAAACCTAACCTGTTTTCTTTGAAAGAGGAGACAGGTGGGTAACTTGATTACAGCCTACAAATGTCGTCTCAGAAAAAGCTTTGTGTTGATGAGAGGGGCTTCAGTGAGTAACTGAAAACGCAGGTAGATCCAGAACCTGGAAACTGAAATCAGGCAACTTCAGAGTGGGAAGCAGGGTGAGTAATTAAACAGCAGAATGGCATTCATGGGGATAAGTGATTCACCATAATAGCAGGATGGATGTCTTTCCAAAAGATGGCTGTGACTGAAGCAGGAGACTTGTGCCAAAAGGGAAACACATGCAATTATCTCAGGGATGGTAACTAAGCATTAATCTTGATAAAAACATGAATAATGAGAAAAGATTTGGGATTTCTAAAGGCACTGTGAGGAGCACACGAGCACTTCCACAAGGCTGGGCTAGGGGGTCACCTGTAGGTGACTTTCTGGGGCTGGGCACTGGAGCACTGCCTGCCACAACCCTTCAAGGAGAGGCAGGAGCAGATTTTTGGTTTGGATAAAAGCACCATGAGATGTCCAGTGATCGCAGCTTCATCCAAGGGATGCCTGCTGGCTTCCAAAGGCAACAGCCTTCCTGCCAACAAAACTGCCAGATGTCCATTCAGAAATCGTTTGGATTTTTAAGTGTGTAAGAGACATTTTTGCCTAAGTGTCTGTTTATCTGTGTTCTTCCTGCATGAAAACACAACAGATAGGTAAGATCAAGAGATTTCCAATCCAAGAAGAGCACTGGAAGCACAGCACAGAAACAACAGTCTGCAGGGGCTCACAGCTACTAGTTGATCATGATGGCCATTGCAGGGGAGAAATGCTCCTGCTTCTTGAGAACTGACAAGGAGGTTTGAGAGGAGAAGATGCAGATCCCAAACTTTAGGTAGTGTCAAAGGAAAACAAAGCTGGTAGAGAAGTGCCGCATGCCAGAATATTTCCTGACACCCTCAAAGACTGGAGCTTCTGCAGTACAGAATACTTTGCAGCATAGATAGATGATGGATGACAGCCTCAGAGGTCAGCGAGATGAGTCCAAAGGCAATGATGCTCTCACTGAGTTTGGCTGTGTTGTCACCAAGAGGAACACACAGTGTCCCTGCAGGTGCCTTGCACTTCAGTGATGTTCCAGCACAGCCTGCCCACCTGTGAATGGGTTGGGGGAGAGCCTGGGAGACTTTTTAGCAAAACACAGCCCTGACACACAGGAGCTATTTGGGAACTCTTGCAAATCCTTTCTAAATCATTAAATTTTTTAAACCTGATTAATATTATACTAATACTTTGAGATCAAGCATGACTTAAATCTTGGGCAGCAATGGGGGAAGGTCATGCTGCAAGTGGAAAACCAGCTGCAAGGAGCTGGAGGTGCCTCAAGCAGAATTAAACTTGAGCGCCATCAGTGCCGCAGCTTTGCTCCCTGTGTGTCCATGTGTTCGTTTATGGTCCCAATGCCACTGTCAGAGCAGGTGCAAAGGAAAAGAAGAAAAAGAAACAAAATTAAAGTAGCCCTCCATAACAATCCACTCATAACCAAAGCCCCTTTGTGTGCTGGTTAAGTAAGAATTTATTCTACCTTTCTCCAGAACCTCTCTGGTGCTCGGGGGCTAATTGCTCTGTGTTCATCCCAGATCCTGGACTGCATCCCAGCAGGCTCTGTGGCAGCCAAATCCTGATCTGTTTTTCCTCTCTACTCCTTGCAGAGTGACGGGACTTGTTGGCGCTCGCGTGGTTTCCTACAGTTGTCTCCATGCTGTGACAAGGGAGCCTCATGCTGCCGCGTTTCCTCCCAGTGAGGAGCCAGGGCTGGTGGGATGCTGTGCTGAGCTGGGGAGCCATGAGGAGAGCTGGGAGCATTGCTGCACCCTGCCTGCCTTGCCACCATACAGAGGACCACGGCTTTACCCAAAGAAATGCAGTCACAGCGAGTGACTCCTGGCTGCTGTGCAGAACCTCATGCACACCCCCAGCATGCATATTTATGATCCCAATTATCACCAAACAAAACACACAGGTTGCTGTGTAAATAACTGATTTTTAATCTAAATCGCCCAGCTTACATACTTCACCCAGCCCTGCTCAGCAGAACAGCTGGTGTTTACCAACTTCTCATTGCTTCTCCAAGCAACGTGGAAAGACGCTGTCTGCAGAGTCACAGCTGCCCCTGAGATAAGGAGAGCTCAGGTTTGCCTCTGTCCCAGACACTGCTCCCTCACATCCTGACGAGCCCTGGCAGCAGGGTGTGCCCAGCAGCACTTCTCTGCTGACATCTGGGGCTAATAAATGATGCCCTACCCAGCTGCACAGTGAGCACGGGCCTCCAGCAGAGCCCTCTGAGCTGCTGTGTGCTCCCTGCAAGGCTGCAGGAGGGTCAGCTGGGGTTGGTTATTTTGGTTAGGGTTAAGGTTGGGGTTAGGGGGCAAGTGCAGAGCTTTGGGAGGGGAGAGATGGCTCCTACCCACGTCACTCAAGTTCAGACTTCCTTCCCAAGCAGCAGCACTCCCCCACCCAACTGTTGGACCCTGACATACTCAGAGGTTTTCTACCCCTTGACTGTCCGAGGAGGACCTGAGGTCAGCAGTGGGTGAAGACTGTGTCTGGTACAGCTGGGGATAGGAAGGTCTCTCCACCTAGCACAGGCAGTGAGGATTTGCAGTACTGTGCAATGAGGGAATGCTGAAAGGTGCCTGCTCATAGTGGCTATTACTGCTGGCTGTTCTATTTCTGCAAGAAAGAGTAGTTTCCAAGTAATCCAAATAACTCTAGCTATCATTATGCTTCTGTCCATATCTATATTTGCAGTTACAAATACTTCCTTTTTTCCTAGTGCCTCTGGAGGCTAACATTGGAGCTACGATGAGCCAGGAATTATTCTTATCATGTACTTCCACTGCCCAAGAATGAGCATATGTTAAAGAAATCCAGTCCCTCTTTATTCCAGGATTTGAATGGCCCCCTGAGGCACCCAACAGCCAGATTTGGCTTTACGTGGGCTTGCATGGTGGCTGGCAGTGCTGATGCTGGCGGTTCCTTCAGTAGCACTCACTGAATGTGAGGATGTGAGAAGACATTATCTACCCTTTCCCCTAATTTTTCCTCTGTCTGCCCATAATGACATTCATGCTGATGGAGGAGGGCTGGGCACTGGTGACCGGCGTCTATAGGATGGACATTGACAGCTCAGCTCCTCCGCCACAGCTCTGATCTGCCTCTGCACCCTGCAGCACCTTGGGTTGCACTCCTCCTGCACGATCACTGTGCTCTGCACACACACAGGGCTTCTCCTTGGTGTGCCTAAAAGACAGCCAACTCCCAGCCCTGTGTCCCAGGGTGATGGATGTCATGCCAACACACCCAGGAGGAGCAGAGGATGATAACCCCCAGCCCAGCTGCTCCAGGACCTGATCAGGCGAGGTCACCTCTTCTGCCGTAAAGACCCCAAAGCATCTAATTCTCCTTGGCACTTCTCTCCAGGCAAGGAGAATTCTCCTCTGTGGCTTCAGACACAGGAGCTGGTAAGCACCAAGTTTTACGGTGTTGTTATGATGTTTAATCAGTACTTGCTACCTTGACCTCTCATCTCACCAGGAAAACAGAGCTGCTGTGTCAGCATGAGTGACCAGTTTTGTGCAGAAGAGAGCTGGTGGATGAAGGAGAGGGAAAATGGTGTTTTATGGGATGTTCTCAAGGAGTGAGTCTCCCTTACCCCCAGGCACCATCACCAATCATTTGCTGTGATTTAAAGAGCACACATTTGGTTAAAAACAGTGGGCCAGACCTACAATCCCTACATGTTTGATTCCATGGAGGTTAGCTGGTTTAGATCAGCTGAAACACAGACCCTCTATGTTTAAACAAAGCCCTTATTTTTTCACTGGTGCTCAACAGAAAGTGACCTGCCTTTAGTGTAGATCTGTGAGGCCATGGCCCCATGCAGCTGTGCCCCCATGCACAGTTCCTGTCCCACAGTGCTGCACTGCTCAGTGCACTGGCAGCTGAAGCCCTGGGAAAGCAGGACCACAGAGGGTGCTGGGCCAGCAGCCTCGTGGTGACCTCGGGCATCATTTCAGGGTCCACAAAGCCAGTGCTGAGCACCAGATGTGTGCACAGCTGGGCTGCATGCAGCTGTGCAGATTTTGGCCTCTCTAGGTGAGCACCAGGCACCTGATGTGAGCCCATGGAACGAGCCAAAGGGATTCCTTGCACTGCCTCCCCCAAAACCTCACTGTATTTCACATGGAACAGAGATTTACCTCTTCTGAGCATAGGGCTGAGGTTCTTCAGTGGCAGAAACATATGATAAAGAAGCCGTATATTCACTGCCCCAGTGACAGATGCTCACACAGTTTGAAAGGGGAAAATGAAATCAGCGTTTTCAAAGTGCAGCGAGGAAATAAATGTCCTGCGTTCAGCATTTACAAGCAGCGGACCACGTAAGTCAGACGGGGTGCCTTGCAAGAGGCCCCTTTGTGAAGCCCCAGCGGGCTGCCAGCCTTCGGTCCGAGCTGCAATCGCGGGGCTCGGCTGCTCCCTGGCGGTGAGCGGCCGCCTCGCTGCCTCCGGGCTGCCTTCCCCTTCCCGCCCCGAACGCTGTGTTTTCCCGTCCCTATCCCTGCCTCCTGCTGCGGGAGGGCGGCTGTGCTTTGTATCACAGTGCGGGGCACAGACCGCACGGGGCAGACAGCACAGAAAACAGCCAGGATAAATAAAGAGCTGCTATTCCAGTTAATACACGCTCGGGTCAGAGTCCCAGGTGGGGATGGGCAGCACCTTGTTATCATCCCCATCACACACAACTGCACTCCTGCTCCAGCACCAGCTGCTGGGGCCTCATCCTGCCCCGCTCTGCCTGCAGTGCCATGCACACATAAATGTGGGCAGGGCCTCAAGTCCCTCATGTGATGGGCACAAGAAACCAAAACGCTGCTGGTGGCAGGACCTTTGCTGATTGCTGCTTCTGGAGAACATGTGGATCATGAGCATCTCATGGTGACACGTCCATTTGATCAGACAACGTGGCCTCCTTCACTCAGCCACCTGGCCCGGTACGTGGCACAGCCTGGCACATCCATGGGTCGCTGCAGGGCTCTGGAGATGTTGGCCAGCTTGGCACCAATGAGGCCCTGCAACTCCACATCTCCCAGCTCAATGGCTGCAGCGAGGGCCAGGAGGAAGTAGGCTGCTGCGTCCTGTTCATCCTAACCATAAAGAACAGAGTGTTAGGAAGTAGTTTAATGTGAGGTCATAGGGTGCAAGGATGCTGCAGAAGAGCCCAGTGGTTCTCCAATGGCAGGAATGTATGATAAAGAAGCCATATATTCACTGCCCCAATGACAGATGATCACAGAGTTTGAAAGGGGAAGAGACAGAACCCGATGACTTGAGTGCTTCAATTGAGTGAAACAGGCTCTGCACAGCCAGTGCAAAGGGTCAGCACATTTCTTCCCACACTGCCTCTCAAAGCCTGGAGAAGCCAGCATTGTGTGTACTTATTCTAAAGCTGCCTACAAGGGTGGCAGCTCTGCTGGCAGATGTGGTTTTCCACCTCCAGCCCCTGTCATAGAATCCTAGAATGACTTGGGTTGGGAGGGACCTTAAAGCCCATCCACTTCCAACCGCTGCCGTGGGCTGGTTGTCTCTCACCTGATCAGGCTTTGCAGGGCCCCATCCCACCTGGCCCTGAGCACGTCCAGGGATGGAACACTCACAGCTCTGGGCAGCAGTGCCAGTGCCTCACTGCCCTTTGGGTAAAGAATTTCTTCCTAACTCTAACCTGAATTTCCCCTCTTATAGTTTAAAGTCATTTCCCCTTGTCCTATCACTGTTAGACCAAGATCAAGATCTGAAAGCTCAAAGCAGCACCACAGAAAGCGGCTTCCTACCTTCAGCTTGTGCAGGGTCAGGTTGCCAAGGTGGCAATACACCTTGCAGTAGTACAGGGCTTCTCCAGAGCACTGCAGCATGGGGGGATGCAGGGCAAGTGTCTTCAGGTAGCAATCTTCAGCCATCTCATACATCTGCAGAAAATAGTAGACTGTAGCCAGGCGGTGGAATGCAACCAGCTCTTGCAATTGATCTCCTAGAAAAGAGTTGCTGATATAGTCAGCCTGCAGCATGCTCACAAATCATTCCCAGCCCAGCACACCGAGCTGCATTTGATCAACAGCCCTGGGGCATAGATCTCTTTATAAGGAGACACTATAGTTGAAAACAGTCCAAAGAAAACAAAGCCAAGGGCAAGGCTGCTGATACCAATGCAAGACAAGTTGCCCAGGGAGTGTATCATTCAAAAAGGGGATTTCTTGGTGCTGGAAAGTGTTATGACAAGACTGGTTTCATCTCAGACATTTATGCTGGCATAATGCTGGCCATTAGACCTACTTCTGCAGTGGAAAGAGGGTTTATTGGGTTTATTGGAACAGCTAGGGCAAAGAGGAACTGTTGAGTCTCATGCCTTCATCAGACTTCCTGTGCTCTGGTGTAGCAATAGCCCTCTGCCCAGCAGTGCTCCCACTCCTGAGGGACTGTCACACAGCTTAAAAAGGGAAGTGGCCTTAAAGAGATGTTACCCTTAGGATAAGAATAGATCCAGAGCACTTATGAAAGCAGGAGTATCTTCCCTGCATGTGCATGCTGTCTTACCCAAAAGCCAGCCCGCTTTGCCAGCAGCTCCGTGTACCCTTGGGTTTGCATCACTCACCCACCCTGATGCTCAGCCTGGCTGCCAGCGTGGCAAACTCCAGCGCCTTCTCATAGCCCTGCAGCCCGATCTGCAGCTCCGTCAGCTTATTGAACAGCCGCAGCTCTGTCTCAATGGCCTGCAGCTTCCTGGCCAAGGGCACTGCACCGCCCTGGTAAGAGAACAGTGAGTCTGGTGTGTTCCTGGAGGTATGATTACAGCACTGCCCACAGAAGGGTGGAAGCAAGAGATGAATTGAGCCCTTGGCAAGGCAGACAGACAATGGGGTGGCTGGGTTCTGGGCATCCCAGTTCTAACCCTTAACATGAGTTCGACATCCCAGAGTATGGTCCTCAAAAGCTGAACCTCTCATCTCTACCTTTCCTTAAGTGCATGAAATTCTGGCTCTGAGCACATACCCAGAATGACCATCCCACATCTGAAGCTGCCAGGATTGGTAATGCACAAACCTGCTCCCACCCTGCAGAATGACCTCTGGGGAGATCTGCAGCTATTGCAAAATGGGTGCTCTGAGATGCCTCCTAGCAAAGTTTACGCAGATGCACACTCAGAATTCTGATAATTCTCTCCACCTTCCACCCCATCCCTCCATCGTGGCCACACAGTGCTGCAGTTCCCCATGGTCGTCACCTAGAAGGGACATAAGGAACATGCTCAGAGGGGTCAGTACCCTGTAAAACTCCACTGCTCGATCTCTGTGCCGGTTGCCATTAAAAAAGTTATCGCCTGCTTTTTCATAGAGATCCATGGCCAAGGAGAAGTTCTCAGCTTTCAGAGCAGTCTCAATAGCTGCCTAGAAGGAAAAGGAACTGGAGTGAGACTTGGAAAGGGACATTCACGCACAGATTTTAGAGCGATGAAGTAAACCACATCATCCTGCACTTGAACCTCAATGCTCCAAACAGCACAGACACAGGTTGGCAAGGTGTGTGAGACTGTCATGCTGCATTTGTAAGCAACATGTGAGGGTGGAGCCAAGAGCTATACGTGTCCCTGTGCAGGGTCAGAGTGCCAGACTGACCAGCTGGGGCATCCCATGAAATCAGGATGAGAGTCAGGGCAGCCACAGCCTGCCTGCTCTGTCATTACAGTGGTGGAGGCAATGTTGAGACTGGCAAGGTGAAGAGATACCAGGACAGGGAAAAGGTAGAGCCAGTGGGATGGGAATGATGGCAGGTATACGAGGGAAGAACAGATATTTGTGCCAACTGTACACCCTGCCATGATGCCATCCTCCAGCCAGAGCATACCCTTTCCATCATTACAATCTGTCAGTGCCACTGACCATGATAGTTCAGTTGCACAGTCACCAGTTCAGTAATGCCTCCAGGGTAACAGAGTGAGGACCCAAAGCATCCCTTATGTGTGCTCAGACTGGTGATTTTCTGGACCCCAGTTCAGTGCAATGCCAGCAGACCCAGCCAGCCTTCTGCTCAGCTTTCTTTGGGCATGTGGAAGGATTTTGTATCTTTTAATAGAAACTGCTCTTTGAATGATAGAGCTCTAAAATTTTTGTGGAAGCTTTTCCTCTTTGCAGCTCATCTGATAGAATAATGTTGCAGATGGAAAGAAGCTAGTAGCCTTCTGCTCCAAGAAGTCTTCAAGCACTTCCCTGGCACCTCAACCCTCATCTATGTGCATTTCAATGGGAACTCATCACCTGGCACTTTCTTTGGCACCCTCTCATCACTTTCTGTCCCAATGAATTCACAAACTTTCACCCAAGAATCCTCTAAAACCCGTGTATGAAAGGAAAGTTAGGACATTTAATGCCAGATAGTGCATGAATGCTAAGGCAGCAGCTCCTTCCAGCAGCAGGTGTCCTATGCTCATGAGAAGAACTTTCCCTTCCAAGTTTTTGAGCCCCAAATGGCTCCTGCTGAGCCACACAGTTGTGATGGGAATGCAGCACCATTGGTGCTGGGAATGGGATTACTCCAGACACCTCCCTCATACCTGAAAGTACATTTCCACCAGCTCGTCTTCCTGCATGAGATAGTACAGCCTTCCTGCCTGCAGCCAGGCCTCTGCTGCCTTGCCTGTCTCCTCAAGGTCAATGAAGATCCTCAGACTCTGTTTGGTGCAGTCCAGCGACTGTCTCAAAGCCCTGTGATGGTAACAGGTAAGAAAACACTACAGAGGAATCACAGGATGACAGCAACCAGCTGCAGAGCTGCCACCACACCTTCACTTCCCAGCCAACGTCTGCCACCCAGAACCAAATCTGTGACTGTTGTTTGTCCCTTGGTGCTGGCAGAAGGACAGTTCTGTGCCACACATGCAAGGCCAGCTGTCTCCTTCTCAAGCCCAGTGCCATTAGAGGACAAAGGGTAGGCAGCAGGACGAGGTGTTAGGTTGGATATGCTGCTTGCAGAAGGTGGCTGTGGCCAGGGGTGGGGGCAGTGCCCAGGGCATGTTTGCTAGCTTGGTATCTTGCTTGAAACTGTGTTCCAGCTGTCCTTCCAGGGACCTGGGTGCTTTGGAACTGAAATAGTATTGCTCACATGACAGGCGTCTGCTTCCTAAATTCCTTCCCTCTGAACTCACAGTGACCCAGAGCGGGAAGGTGAACGTCCAGTTAGGGACAGCCCCTGCCCACTTATCCTTCTGGGACACAGGGGCCAGCCCTCCACTGTTTGACATGTCTGCCTTGAAAAACTGAAGAAAGCCTGTGATTAATCCACATCTTCTTCTTCCCTTCTGCCTAAACTAATCCATCACCTGCATGTGTCAAACAGGAGATTGAAAGGTGAGCTGATACGAGGTCTGAAGTGTATTCCTGGGGAAAATATTCTAGTAGCAATAGGAAGGGCAAGCTCAGTGGCTGGAGGCTGAAGCCAGGGTTATTTAAATAACAGATAAGGAGTCTATTTTTACTAGTGAGAGGTGATTAATCACTAGGATAAGCCTCCAAAGGAAGTGATGAATTCCCTGTCACTAGGTCCCCTCTGAAGAAGGCTGGATGTCTCTCTGGAAAGCTATGTTTGGCCATCCCCCAGTTTTATCCCAGCTAGCAGCACAGCATTTGCTGGCTGTCCCTGCGATCTGGCTGACATTGAGCTCTTCCTGCAGAGCACAGGGAAGCTCCCAGATCTCAGCCACTCACCACCCACCACCTGCGAGCACCCCACCTCCCTGCAGGGACTCTGCTGTGAACACCATGGAAAAGCCACTGCTATTGCATGGATGAGCGGAGAACCCTCTCTAACAGCATCTGCACAGGAAACAGCCACGCTCAGGACTTACTCAGGGGTGCCCAAAGCCTGATAGAGTTGGCTGAGGGTCTGCTGGACATTGCCTTCTAGCTCTCTGTCCTGGAGTTTCTGTGCCAAGGAGACCCGGTGCTCATGGTAGGTAATGCAGGCCTGGAGGCTGGGGCACACTTGGCTGTAGAAATGGCAGAGTGCCTCAGTGACATGAAGCTGACCTGCATGGTAGAGGGAAGGGAAAGAGACAGCTCAAAGGGCTGTGTTGGGGATCTGATGGAGTTCTGCACTGAGGCGAGCACTGCCCCATCCCTGCCAGAAAAGCTGTACTCACTCCTCATGTTGTGCCACTTCAGGGCAAAAACCAGCGCAAGTTCATAACAGAGTTTGCCATCTTCCATCTTCCGCCTGCTGACCATGGCCTGTGCCAGCCACAGCAGCACGTGCACCGACTCCAGCTCCAGCTCCTCGCTGCCCTGCAGCTCAGCATACAGCTGGGCAGCCTGCAGCAGGTAGAGCTCAGACAGCTGACTCGCCCCACACGACTGGCTCAGCCGCCCCAGGTTGGCCAGGGCGACAGCCTGATTCCTCTTGTTCCCAGTCTCCTTGGCTTTGTGCAGCGCCCGGATGTAGTTCTCTGTGGCCTCCTGCACCTGCCCTGCTCCTCTGAGGGCAATGGCGAGGAGGTTGTGCACCGCTCCACCTTGAGTCACACTGTCTGTCCCGTGCAGGGAATGTAGGAGCTGCCCCATGATGTCTGCGGCCGGGCCTGGTTGGCTGCTCAGAAGGTACATCCACCCCAGAGAGAGGGAGGACTCAAAAGCCTCCTCCTCACCTATCAGCCTGCTGAAAACCACTGCCTGGGCTGCATAGCACACCGCCCCGTCCAGCACACCGTGCTGGAGGTACATCCGGGACAAAACAGTGCACAGAGTCCTCTGGGTGGTCACTGCTCTGCTCTCACAGGAGAAGTGCAGTGCTTGCTTGAGGTAGGAACACACCAAGGCTGGGATGCTGCTCCTCTCCAGTTGGCTTCCCAGGAGCTTGGACACATTTTGGAGGATGAAGCCAGCTTTCCAAATGGGCGTTGGTGCCCCTTTGATGCCACTGGGAACAAAAGACCTGGCAGATGCCAGTGCAATGTTTGGCAAGTACTTCTTGTCATACAGATAGCTCAGGATGGGGGTGGCATCCAGCGGCACAGCACTAGCATCCAGGCTGAGTGAAGTGGTGCAGAGACATTGAAGGTGCTCAATAAAGGGCAGTACTTCGTCATTTTTTCCCAGCTGGAGGAAGAGCTTGACGATAAGGAAGCAGACCCGTGCTTCCAGAGGAGTGTTCCCCACAGCAATGGCCTCCCTCAGAACGTACATCATGACCCTCAGCTCGTGCTCAGAGCTGAAGGAGCGGCCGGGCAAGCAGACAAGCAAGGCCACCATTTTTCCCAGCAAGGAGAAGAACTTGCTCTTCATGTTCTGTTTCAGGTAGATGGAAGCAAGGTTCACGTGCAAGGCAGCCAGCAGGGGCAGGTCCCCAAGGCCCCTGCCCAGGGTGCTCATGGCTTCCTCAAAATAGACTCGAGCCTGGGAGAACTTGACTTTTTTCATACAGAGCTTACCCAAGAGGAAACAGAGCCTGACATGGGCCCAAACTGAATGAGTCCTCTTGGCCCAGTTCCTGGATGTCTCAAGGTACAAGACCAGTTCATCCTCATCAGAGAAACCATAAAAAGTGGAGTTGAGAAAGGAGAAACTGAGATCATAGAGGCTTTGATAACAGAGCATATAACTGTCTTGGTTAAGGAAGGTCAGTATGGGTTCAAAGACATCAGCATCTTCCATGTGGCCAGCATTCAGGTCAATGAAGAACTTGGGATCATCAAAATCATTCAGCTTGTCCAGGAGAACATCTTCCCATGTAGCAGGCACTGACTCACTCCCTGGGCTGGACTGCTCCGAGGTGCTAGCTGTGACCAAGCTGTTTATCTCCTCCCAGGACTGGAGCAACTGGGTGTCCTTACAGCCATGGAGAACAGCCTCTGGAAGGAGATAGGAAAACTACAGTGGGACACTTCTCCGTGTCAGAATTCACTCTCTGGCATCACTGTAAAGACATTCTCCATACACTCACCTGATGGCGCTTTCGGGAACATGGCTGTGGGTTCAAAACCATCTACACAAAGAGACAAAACAAACAGCCCATAGGCTTGATTAGTGTCAGTGTGCAGACACAGCACTCAAACCTGCCCCAGACCCATGTCTCAGAGAGCAGGGTCACTTCTGGCCACAGACACCACATGAAGCTGCAGTTTTAGCCCCTTTATATTCTGGAGTTTGGCTTAGTGCACAACCATGGAGAAAAGGCAGGAAATAGAGCTGTGCTTTCCACGGGAGCAGTGGAGCTAAGTAAGGAGAGGGAACTCACCCAGGCGGTACACAGAAGTGATGTCAGTGCGTGCCAGCTCGCCGAGGAGGGTGGCAAAGTGCTGCTCACCACCATTGCAGGGGATGCGCAGGAGGGGCAAGTTTTCTTCTTCGCTCAGAAACACCAATCCCTTTTCTCTAGGTTAAGGTGTGTAATATGGAAAAACAGTCAGTGTCTCTGCTGTTCTGCAGTGTTAGAGAAAATTGCCTGAGATTTATCTTGAGTGAACCTGACCCAGGAAAGCCCAACAGAAGCAGACAGACCTAGTAACAGCTGAACAACTCCTTAAGAACTCCATTCTTCCATATGTAGTCTTGGAAGAAAAGCCTTTTTGGATGGGTATTGAACTGGAGGTGTCTTTAAGCCAGCAACAAAGACAGCTGTTGTGTCCTAAGAGTGCAGTTGCCAGCCATGCTCCTCAGATAGCCCTTGTCCCTGTCCCTAGCCTGGCATTCAGTTCTGTTCAGTGAGGAACTGCGCCAGTAGCTGCACCTCACAGAAGGCAAGGGGGCAGAAGGAAGCAAAGAAAAATTCTGTTTTCTGAGCAATTATCAGAGCCCCCATCCTTGCCAGACTCACAGCCCCTCAGAGAAAAGCTACTAAGACAAGAACATTTCTGATAGAGACTGTGAAGCCAGCTCATCTGGTACATAGATGTCCTGGGCTGACTTATCCAGCTCTAACCCAGAGCCAGACCTTTTTCCTCTCCAAGAATCACCTCAAGCAAGTGAAATATGATGGCTTTGTCTGGGCAGAGACTCCTGCAGCCTGTTGGCAGAACAGCCTGGGTGAGGCTTCTGGACAGACCTCACGTGGATCCTCTATAAAGTCTTTGCAAAGCAAACTACCTGCCCTGGACTCTCATAGCCTCGAGCTGGGACTCGGAGTTGACCCATCTTTTCCACCCAACTTGAAATTCAGATAGCAACAGTAAACTTACAGAGATTCACAAGCCTCAGCATTTACGGATTGCACTGGGACAAAGCCGATGTTCCCATTGCTTGAAGATCTGCCCACAAACCACGGGAGTCCTGGGAGGAGGAAGCCAATGACTTCTATGCTGTCTCCCTTGGAGAAACTCAGTTCATCCCATGCTGCTCCTCTGTGATCCACTGTGGCTGTGCACTTGCCTTTGACTGGGAAACAAAAGCAAACAACGGCATTTCATTGTGAGGATCACTGTTAAAACTTCCTTGCTCGAAAAGACTTAGGTGAAAAGAGCATGATGTCATCTTGAGAAGACTGCCTCTCTGTTCCCCAAGATTTGTTGTGCTCTCAGGCTCAGACCTCTACACTTTCTTCTTCAGAAAAAATATTTTGATAAAATATACAGAAGGCATAGGTAAAACCCCACAAAGCCAAAGAGTGAAACCTCTGGGAGCTGCACTAGTGAAGGCAGCTGGAAAAATGAAGTTGCTGTAGTTTCACAGGAGATGGACTGTCAACTTTCTGCTAGGAGTGAAATCCTTAACAGTGCAAATGTATAGGAGAATCTGAGAATGCAATACTCCCGTGCAGCACCTCACAACGTGGTGCCATTGTCAGATCAAGAGATGGGTCCTTTGCATTTCGGACCAAACCCAGGTCTTTATGAGCCATGTCCATCCCTGGGAAGGGCAGCCACCCTACATGGTTATCACTCACCAATCGGCTGAGAGGTTGACTCACTGATCTCCTTGGAGATGCCAAAACTCATGGCGTAATTCCTCAGGAACCACCTGTAAGGTAAAAGGGAACCTTGCTGATCCTCTCCAAGCAGCCTTCAAGCCACTCCCAGGGATGGTCTCAAACAAGCAGAGCAGATGGAAAGTACTGCCAGTCCAGCCATGCCTTGCCATGGTGGTATGGTGCATGGAGGGCAGCTCACATCTCCCATGTGCAGCTTCACACCTTGTGGAAAGTGTGGGATGATTTTGCCAGCCCATAAGGAGGATTTCACCTCCTTATATATATATAGTATATATAAAGTATAAGATCTGTGCATATCTTCATGACTCAGCAAGGTGTGCAACATCAGGCCACATTTTGACCGGCATTACTTAAGATTCAGGATGTTTTTTAGTTATCACAAGTAATCCTGTGTATGACCTAAATCAATACTATACAAAAATGGTACCTGAACTAAGTCCTTGCTCTATCCCAATAACAGAACTGGTTCCGGTCATCTCAATGCATAGTGCATATTCTCAAGGTTATAGGGCTCTTGCCCGATGCCAGAGGTAAGAGCAGCTCCTCTGTTGTCCTGATTTGGTGTTAGCTGTGAGTCGGGAATGGATGCTTGGCTTGAGCACCATTGATTGCCTGTCTTACTACTTCTACTTACTGGTAGAATGGGTGAGGTACCGGCTCTAGGGCAGTCACAGGCACCAGGCCTCGATGGCCTGTCAGCAAGGACATCCCTTCCCATTTGGAATCCTCTCCAATGTTCTTCACATGGACCAGCTCATTCCTGCAGAACTGCAGGCCTTCCTCTCCCTCCCTTTCTGGCTGGCATGCACCAGGCATTGCTCTGGAAAAAAAGTGACCTGCGGATAGAAAGAGTCATGGCCAGGTCAGTGGCACTGGTGCAAGGCAGAGCCCAGAAGAGGGCTGTACCACAGCCCTGCAATCCCTCCTCACCTTCCTGGAGCAGCAGACCCAGATATATGGTGGCCAAGCGATTTTCGTCCATGGACACTCTGATCTCCGTGTCCTCCACCAGTGCACAGTTCAGCCAGTACTCCTGCTCAAAGAGAAGCTGCTCCAAGCAGCGGCCTACATAGCCTAAAAACAGAGGGGAAGCAGCATCAGCACCCTGCTTTGCTGGGCAGCACAAGCTGCTCTTCGGGTGTCTCCCAGTCTGCCATTTGCAGCAGAGGTGCAATAGAGGAATTACCCAAAATACAACCTCCCAAATCTTTATCACTGTTCCAGAGAGTGGTTTTGTGAATCTGTGCATGAATACCAAGGCCCTTTGATTAACATTCCTTTCACTTTAAGCTCTTCTCTCTGTTACACTGCATTTATTTGTTGTCACAGAATACCTTCTCCAAAAAGGCTCTTCACACTTTTTTTTGTATCCACTCCACCTTGAAAACATTACCTAAAGTTACATACGTGGAAAACTTCCAGACTTCTTCCAGGGTTTTGAAGGTGAGAAGGAACCGATCTTCCTGTGCCTGTATGCACAGCAGTCTGGCTGATAGCTCCTACATGGAGACAAAGCAAGACTGAAGGGCTGGGAGTTGAACATGGGGTCTCCTTTGGCAGTGTGGCAAGAAAATCAGACCCCAGGGTGTAGAAGCACACGCTGGGGAACTTCCCAGTGGGTTGGGTGTTCCATCACACACCCATGCCATCAGGCCAGGAGTCCCCCTGTGCCGTGCTCCCCTACCTTGAACAGAGCACAGACATGTCTGTCATCACTCTCCAAGGCCCACAGCTTCCTTCTGGCTGCTTCCTGCAGCTGGGCATTGGGGCACCGTGAGGAGCGGCTCTCAATGGAGAAGAAGAGTGAGATCTCTTGAAAAGGAAATGTACAGGGTTAGAGGGGAGGAGGAACTCCATGCAATACATCAGCATCATCAGGGCTCAGCCTGAGGTAGCGTGAACCAATCTCATGCTCCTCATCCAGACACATGGATGAGGAACTCAAAGGGTGACTGTGCTTGGTTAGCACAGTGCTAGGCTGCTGTAAGTTGCTGGAGATATTGGTGATGCTGAAGGCAGCACCTTACCTGGCGGAAAGCCCTCCCCAGCTGCCAGCAGCACTGAGGAGGGCTCTGCGGAGCCTTCTGCTGCCTCAGCTGGGCTGCTTGGCTCTGACGCTCCTGCCTTGCCTACACAGGAACACAGAAAAGCCACTGTCAAGTTTTGTGGTGGAATCTTGGACATTGTGCCTAAACACAACACCCGAAAGCAAAGTCCATGGGCCATGCTGCATGTCTGGCTGGGGAGCTGCATGAATCTGGCATCACCCTAAAATGATGCTTGGGGCTGGATGCAACATTACTGTGTGCTACCTACATGATAGCTGTGAGCTTGCTCCTTCCTAGAGATGGAGTGGCCTTGAGGTAAGGACTTTCCCTCCTTGCTCTAGGGACAGGTCCTCCCAGGGCAGATCTGGTGATCCCATGGCAGAGAGGTTTTTTTGAAGATCTCCCACAGCACAGGAGGGCCAAGAACTTTCAGACTCTTTGCTCATCAAACAGTCAAAATGTATTTTCTCTCCTGCCTGCTCTGGTTGGTATCTGAAATCCAAGCTGTTTTCTCTCTGCATCACACATCATCAACTATTGCCACAGATGATTCAGGAGAGGAAACTTTAGCTGGTATTTATGTTAATGGTGACTGTGGCACATAAAAATCCATCTCACTCTTCCACAGCTGTATTGGCTGTGGAGGGGTAACAAGATTGAAAAGCAGTTATTGTCAGCAATCAGATAGAGCTCACTAGACAAACATACCCAGAGATCTGAACTGGGCAGTGGTTAGTGGGCAATACTGGAGGTAGGGGAACAGTTGGATTAGATGATCTTAGAGGTCTTTTTCAATCTTAATGATTCTATGATTCTATCTGGAGCTGGAACAGTGCAGTGACTTTTCTAAATCACTTCTGTCACCATATTCTATAGTCTTTATTATTTAGCCAGCTTTGCTAGGCAGTCAAATAAACTGTGATTTCCACAACAGAATTATGTAAGATATAGTCAACAGCAAAGAATGGCCCAAGGCTGGACATGCGATTAATGGGCTTTTCTTGAAAGAAAATCCTCTACATTTCTCAACAGCTGATGTGAGAGCTCTTAACAAAGGACTTCATCCAGGAACTCCTTTCCCCCCCCTTCCCAACCCCACCCCTGCATGGGGAAATGAAGGCTGGGAAGCAAAAGGAGACGGAGGCAGAGCTGAAATAGAGTGCCTGCTGCCAGGGCTGGGCTATGCCTCCTTCCCACGTCCCTCCCTTCCCCTCAGCCCACGGCCCAGTAGCCCCTCAGCATGGTTCTTCCTTCCCGAGGACAGGTACCTGATGCCATGGTCTTCTCCCACCACCATCGTCCCCGGCGCTCGGCTGCGCTGTGCTGCAGGCGGTCCCAGTGTGGCAGGAGCAGGGGCGAGCGGGGACAGCAGGACTCACACTCCTCAGCTGGGGGAGAGGAGCAGTGGGGAGAGGCATTTAGACCCCGGGTGGGATGCTCCCAGCCCAAGGGCTCTCGTGGCATCTGAGAGGCAGCCGAGGTGAAGGAGGGGGCAGATGGGGCACTGCTCATGCTGGCACTGCCAGCAGTGCAACCAGGCATGCTGGGGCTCCTCACTGAGCGGGCCAAATGGACAGAGCAAGGGCTCCCGTGGGTGAGAGGAGAAGTGGGTTTGCTCCCAGCGGTGCTGGCTGCTGCTTCAGTGGTTATTTTCATTTGGGCCCGACTCAGAAAGGGAACTAGCGAATTTTTCAAGAGACCAATTGAAACTGCTGGTGGAGAGTTGTTCCTAGTTGTGCTATTGACTCATTTACCTCCCAAGTGCTGAAATATTTTGCAATATGGGGCAGGAAGCAGCCCCAGCCCCAGCTGAGAGTGTTTCCAGGCTCTCTGACCCCTCTCCTGGCGCTCCCTGGCTCTCCCTGCATTGCCAGCCTCCTGCAGCACCCCAGGGCCCTGCAAGCCTTCCAAACAAAGGAAACCAGCACTTAGCAATGAGACCTCCCCAGCAGCACCAGCAGCATGACACCCCTATGTCCCACAGACCCATTTGAACAGAGCAGGGCTGTGGCCTCCCAACAGATAGCTTACCTGTACACCCCAGGGCCAGGTCCTGGTGCCAAGGGGCCCCCAAGCAGCAGCCCATGTGTCCAGCATCGCCACCAGCCCCAAGCCGGCAGGCTGCTGCTGTGCTGCCAGAGGAAGCGAGCCTCTCACCACCAGCTCTACTGCAGCTCAGCCCATCCACAATGTACAATGGGCTTTCAGAGCGGGCCCTGTGTGCCAGCAAGGCGGGGGCTGGGCACATCCCACCAGCCAGCATCACTGCCCCACTGTTGCCCCAGGGTGTGCTCTCACCCTCATCTTTGGGCGCCTGTCACCAGGCCCACGTGGCACATTCCTCTCATTCCTCCTGCTGGAGCACCAAGCTTCAGCCTGGCTATCGGGAGATCTGCAGCCCCGATCTTCCCCCAATCCAAAGCACCCCACTCCCAGTGCTGCTGCGAGCACCCCTCACCTGCTGGCACCACCTGCAGCTCCTTCAGTGCCCTCCATCCACTCCTGCATTGCCTTCAGCTCATGGGCAGAGCTATGGCCCAGCGAGCCGCCCGTCTCTGCAACACAAAGAGCCGGCTCGCTCAGGGCTGGCGGGGCTGGTCTGTGGATCAGCAGAGCTGTCTGAACCCCAGCATGAACCCAGGAGGACTGATCAAATGGCTGCGCACTCTCCGGGCTGCCCGTGGTGGATTCTGGCACCCTCTTTGCTCACACGCTCTGACCCTCCCCAGGCTACAACAGTAGGACCCGCTGGGTGGCCTCAGTGTGCTACACGTGGCAGAGGTGTGCAAAGCATCCCTGGGAAAGGTCAACACAGCCCCTGCATGAAAGAAAAAAAAACACCACAAAAGAAACACTAGGGAGACAAATCACAGGTAGACTGGGCTTCTAAGAATGCACTTTTCCTTTAGGAAGGGGCTGACTGCCACCACGGCAATGCCTTGCTTGCCATGCAGCACCAAAACATTAGAACTGCCACCCATCCTTCTCACCCTCCCTGCTGCAGCCCTCAGTGCGAGTGCCAAACACCACTGTTGTTTCCCAGCATGCCAACACTGAACTGATCCTTCCAGTGCAGAGGAGGACCTGCACGAAGGTGAGCAGCTGGGACACACTCTGCCCCTGGCAAGGAGGCCGCCTGCTCCCACTGAACCATGTCCCAGAAAGCTCCAGATTTAGAAAATTCCTGCAGTCGACCTAGAGATGCACTGACACTGTGAGGGCTGAAGGAGGAACTGAGCTCCCAGCAAGGCTCCCAAAGCACCCAGGTTGCACACGCACAGCCCAAGTCTGTGCAATGCCAGGCACAGCTTTGCAATGAGGTTCTGCTGGTTTGGGGCTGCATGGAGGCATCTCTTTACTAACAATCTTGTTGCTTCACACAGGGTGCTGTTTGTTTTAGCAATATCTATTTATAAATTGCTGTCAAATCCTTCTGCATGGAGGACAATACTGAAACAAAGATGTTGTTTCATTTGTTGTTTTGAAATCTCTGTGCTTTTATCTAGACAACGTAGGGACCAAACCCACTCCTCTACAGGTAAAAGTAAACCTCATGTCTGACCTGGAATGTAATTTTCCTTTTGGCCAGCAGCCCAAACCGCTCCCAATGCTCTCTCCCACTCAGTACCTCAGTAGCAGCAGGACTCGTGCACAGCCCTCACTGTTGCTGATACCAACCCAGCCTCCCAAATTAGGAAAGGCTGCAGAGCAATGCTGTGGGATCCCATCTGGTACAGCCCACTGCTGACCCCCAGGGCCCCCCCTCTCTGTGCAGCCCCAGCGAGTGCTACTGCCAGCTGTGTGTCCCTCCCAGGGCACTGAGTGGGAGGTGGGGGCTGCCCAGCACCCCTCACCCAGGGATGCAGCACTGCCAATCTCTGGGGCTGTCTGACAGCTGCATGCTCCTGGCACCAAATCCACTTTGCTAGATTTACAGACTGCTGGTGTGATTTCTCCTTTCATTCTCCCATTGGCTCCTGAATACGAAAGACCTCAGACAAATTTACTCCTCTCTGGTGTGCTCACAACCCCCTTATCTGAACCCCAAACTCCACCAGGACTAATAATCCTAATACGGATCTATGCTTCTGTGTCTCCACACTGAGCTGCTCCAGGGACCTGCAAGAACTGCTTCCCAGCTGTGTTTGCTCAGCTGGGGCTGGCCAGCACCTAGCCAGCAAGGTATGGCCGTCCTGCCCCGTCCTGCCCCATACTGACCTGATCTGCAGGGCCCCACACCGCGTCCTCCTCACAGAACCTCAGCTCCCACCTCTCCACGTCAGGTCCCCGTGCAGAGGTGCAGACGTGCCCGTGAGTGTGCCCAGCGCCGCCACTCCCTCACATGGGGAAAGGAATTTCTTCCCAGAGCCACTTATCGTCTCAGGAGCCTCTGTTTCCCAGCAGAGCAGAGGTCAGCACACTGCCCTGCCATAATCCACCCGGCACGCTGGTGGGGCGCCGTCTCTGGGGAGAGCCCCACTGCTAATCCTGTGCCACATGGAAAACAACAGAAGGGTTAACAATCTCTTCCACCATTCCCGTTTCCTTTGGGGAGTGTGCAGAAGTTGACCATTCCGTGGCAGGTTCAAAATGAAGCCTCCCTGCTTCTCACTTTGTGCTCTAGAAGGGAACCTGAAAGAAAAAGGAAATCAGCCCCAGCCTGACGGCAGCAGGGACAAAGCAAACAAACGCGATGGAGCATTTTGTTTCAGGTCAAACAAATTTCTCATCCGTGGTTTTGATGCTCGATGCCAGGCAGAGCCGTGCTTTCCTCCTCCACCCCCTGCGACCCCCCTCCCCCCCCCAGCGCCAGCAGCGCTGCCGGGCATAGGGCAGAGTGCGGTGGGGGCATTTCCTCATTCCTGCGCTCCCGTTCCTGCTTCCACCTGCAGCGGGCAGGCTGTGACGGGCACCTGCAGCGCAGCTCCTGCTGTGTGCAGCGCACTGCAGCCCGAAGGCGCTGCTCCGCACAGGGGAACGCGCTCCATCCGGCGAGCGAAGGGTTACACGGCCACGGGGCTGTGCCCAGCTGAACTCAGCGTTTGGTGCTCAGAAGTGCTGAGGCCTGCGCCTCTCCCAGCTCGCATTGTTTGCAGTCGGGGCGGAGGAAGTCAGCACTGCTGGACAGCAGGCGGTGCGGCTCGGAGCCCCCAGCTGTGCTGCTGCTGCCCAACTCCTGTGCTGATCGTGGGGCCCGCAGCACTTGGGGCTGCTGCTGTGCTCTCGTCCTCACTGTTTGGTTTGGGATTCGCAGCCTCCTTCGCACTCCCCATGTGGCCATTGTGGTACTAATGTGGCTTTGGAGCAGCTGTGGGAGATGTGTAGTGGGTTTTGGAGCTGTCATGGAAGTGACAGCTGGTGTGATTTCTTCTTTCATTCTCCCATTGGCTCCTGAATACGAAAGACCTCAGACAAACTTACTCCTCTCTGGTGTGCTCACAACCCCCTTATCTGAACCCCAAACTCCACCAGGACTAATAATCCTAATATGGATCTACACTGCTGTGTAGATCCTTGCCTTGATCCTTCCAAAATGATGGGAATGCAGAGGCAGCACAGAGCTCACGTCCTCTGCTAAATAGGAATAACAGCTCATAAAAGAACCGTGACCCCTCAGGACTCTCCTCCCAGCCCACCCCTGGCTGGTTCCCTCCTGCCTGCACTGGGACCGGAGGAGGGGGCTGGTTCCAGGCTCCCACCACACAAGGGGACACGAGGAGACGTATTGTGAGCTTCTAATGTCCCCAGCTTGTCCCACGTCCCAGACCCCCAGCCCTCCTGGATCGTGTATGTGCGGGGCAGGCTTCCCCTCAGCACAAGGCACAGCAGGGGAAGGTCATTTTGCTGCGTCCCCGCAGAGGCTGCTGCCAAGCCCAGAGGCTTTTCTATTCCAGACCAATAAACCTGAAAGAAAGAGGCACCGTGCCCTTATTTGTGACGGGCTCGGGAAGCCCCCTCAGCAGAGCCGTGTGCCCCAGAGAGGCACACCTGAGAGCCTTCCCCTGTGCGTCCTGCAATGCCTTACCAGACTTTCTCTGCTTTGAAGTCCCGTCAGCAGTCCCACAGCTCCGCAGGGGACGCTCATTAGCTAATAGCCGGCTCCGCAGAAGCACGCAGCGCAGGCAGCGGGGCTCTCCCCCTCCGCTCCTTAGTTGCCAGAGCCAATAGATGGCAGCAGCCGCCGCGCCATCAGCTTCCCGATTGAAGCGCTGCCCCGCATCACTCCCTCTATTACTCTTCCCTGCCTCTATTCTTACCCTTTTCCTATTTTGCCACTGAAACAGAAATGAGCAGGACAAGAAAGGAGAGCTAAAAATGACGGAGTGAGCACAACGCTGCGGATCTCCCATTTTTCATTTTTCAATCTCAACTGCTGTAAGAAAATACTCACAGAAACTTGTTTAGCTCACCTTATAAAAAACAAACATTTATAAAATCCCCACGGTTTCCTATCCCTTCCCCTTCCAGTATTCACAACACAAAACGCAGGGCGCTGGGTTGCTGGGTCAGAGAGTGCCCCAGGTTGGAAGGGACTCTTAGGGATCATGGAGTCCAGATCCTGGCAAATTCTGAGCTTCCAGCTCAAGTTCTGTGTGACAACAACACAATAAAAAGAAAGAATTTTAAAGAAATGTTCCGGCACTTTTGGCCAGCCAGGAGTTGTAGGCTTTCCTCTGGAGGAAAGAGTAGAACTGATGAAGATAGTAATTGCTTATGCTGATCTTGAGGGTTTTTTTGAAGCTCTTAATGAGCCAAGCTGCTGGTGAAGGTGTTGGTCCTGGTGCCATTTGCTTTTAAAAGGAAACAAAGCGGCTCAGCGAGGCTAAGCATTGTGTTTTGATATTTTCAGGGTGGAACACTGTGATTTGTTGGCTTGCAAAGCTTTGCTGCTTCAATTTTTTTTTTTGTACATAAAGCGGAGGTTGAAATCAGAATGAAAGCTTTCAGTTTAAGCTAATTAATCTGAACACTTTGATGCAAATCCCATTGTGTTTTCTCAGTTTTGTTCTCCGGGAATTTATTTTAAGTGTCTGCATTCCATTTTCAGATTGGGGGAAAGGAAAGAAAAAAGTGAGATTTCCTACAGAAGAGAGAACCCGCCGTCCACCCAGGGCTGGAAATTCTGCAACAGTTCTTACATTAAGAAGAAATGATTTTTTTCCTAATTGTGTGGTTCAGTCTTACCCTGAGCTGCCCAGGCTGTGCGGGATGGGGATGAGCCAAGGGCCTGTGATGGGGAAGGTGATGTGTGGTGGTGGGGAGGTAAACTGTGCTCCCAGAAAGGGCTGCTTTGTGCAAAGAGCGCTTGGCCCCAAAAGTCCCCAAGTTCTGCAGGAACTGCTCCAATTTCAGTTTCCCCGTGAAACAATATGAGGAACAAAAGGAAGAACAAGCCCTTGCGATAACACAGCTCCAGCAATGAGAAAGCAGCAGCATGTGCCAAGGCTCAATGTCTCTTACTGGTAACACGGCCGGGTGGCCCTGGGGAGCTCAGCAGGCATCGTGCCCTGCTCCCCTGCACCTGCTCCTCCTACATCCCTCTTTGAACACTCATTGCCCCAGAGCCTCATGGTGGGCACAGCTGCCCAGCAGCACCATCCTGCGATCCCGACCCGGGGCTGGAGGGAGTGCAATGTTTGCCCTTCCGTCAGTCCCCATTGCTTCAGGGAACTTAAAAGGGAAAACTAAAAATAAACCCAACTTCCTATGACCTTTCATGGGTTGAAATAGGTCTGGCAGTGGTAAAGCGGGTCAGGTACCTTGGGGCCAGAACCGCAGCTGGAATAGATCTCCCTTCTCATCACTGTGCCTGGACCTGTGGGTGGGTGTGCAAGGCTGGGAGCAGCAGCTGCACCCAGACAGGGCACAAACTTGGGTGTGTATGCAGGGGATAAACAAAGCAGCCCCAAATATGTGACCTGAGGGTGCCTGGAAGGCCGGCCCTGCTACACACAAGCTGCTTTGCAGGATGGCCGCAGCCCACAGATAGCACACACAGCATCACCTGGAGCTCACTCATCTCTCAGCCTTTCTCTTTTGTCTGCTTCTATTTTTTCATTATTTCTTTTCCCTGAAATCATTTGCACAGCACTAACGAGTGAAAATTCAAGTTTGCTTGAAAACAATCTATCATCTGATTATCGTGGTAATGCAGGCAGCCTGGGAACAGCTGCCTCTGCCTGTCTGCGCCTCCTCCTGCCGACACACGGAGCTGCTGGGAAGGAAGGGCCGTCGTGCTGCGGTGTGAGCTGGAGGAAAGCCAAGCTGCTGGTGAGTGACTGGTAGTGCTGTGACTGAGGAAGAGGAGCGGATCCTGTGCTGGTGTAGCACTGTGCTGCCAGGTTCCACCACGGCCCTCATGGTGCTAAAACATCCGCTGCCCATTTTGCTGCTTCTGGTTCCAGTCGCCCTGTTTTCCTCTTGCAGCTGTGGAGCACGGGGCTAGAAGTGGAGGTTGCTCTCTGAGATAACTGTCAGGCCAAGGGCAAAGGAAGTGCGTCGCAAGCCTGTGAGCCCTCTGAAAGTTCTTGCATGTGACTGTGAGTGTGAATTTGTATGTACGTGTGTATCCAGGTGCGCTGAAGGGAATGCTGTAGCTTCAAGCGAAACAAGAATGCAAGAGCTCAGGCTGATGATAAGCTGACCCCTATGTGTGCTGAGGACAGAGATGCTTATATGAATTTTAACTGTCATCTCCTGGGTCCATCAGGAGCTGCGAGCTGATTTGCCCTTGTAGCATCCTCATTGCCACACACTGCCCCGGTCCCCAAGTCATGCAGCAGGGAGCAGGGATTCCTTCCCTGTGGCCCCCGCAGCACCCCACTCTGAGGAACGGGGCTGCCCCAAAGCCTCAGGGGCCAACATCCCTACTCTGGGACAGAAGCCTGCATGGAAGCCCACAGTTGGTGTCTTTCTGAGCCGCTGCCTGGGGAGGTGGTGGGCTGATTTCTGTGAGTTCCTGGTGCTGCTATAGCACAAGATATATTTTGAAGGCCAGCCCCAGCAATTTCACAGGCAGTCAGCAGCTCCTGGCTCTCCCAGGAATCAGCCAGCAGGAGTCACACATCAGGGAAAGAAGCAACCCAATTATCACCCATGTGGGGACAGCTTGGTCCCTTGACATCTCACAGGGAGAAGGAGGTAGGGATAAGAAGCCCAGTATCCAGGGAAGCAGTCAGTACGATTAAATGAAATTATAGCACATTTTTCCCCCTGTTCTCCTGCCCTCATCAGGATCCCGTGTCCTGTTTTGCTGAGTCCTGCAGGCAGCAGCCCGAGTTACTCTGTGCACGCTGTGCTCTGAATGAGGCAGGCGCCTTATGGGAAAAACACACAGCTAATAATTGCTGTGAAAGACTGTGTTACAATGCACAGACACAAAGGGATGAAAGGAGACTACGCTCACATCCTGACATTTCCTCATTTCTGAGTTCTTGTCTCAGGCATCCCTAATACGCTTTCAAGGCAGCTTTTACAGCCAGCTTCCTCTGTCAGAGGAAAGGAAACGGAATTTCCAAACGCCCCAGGATGGTGTGGGGCACGAGGGGCTCAGCATGGTGACCTGCCAGCCCCTGCCTGGGGCCAGCCCCAGCACTCCCAGAAAGAAAGCACTTAGAAACATAGTATTATGGAATCCCAAAGTTTGGAAAAGACCTCTGCAATCATCTAATCCAATCATCAACTAAACAATGTTCCCTAAAACTTGAGCTCTATCCCCACCCAGACATCACCTTTCCCTCTTATTTCTGCTCCTGTTTCCATCTTGCAACAGCAAACAAAATTTTGTTAAGGGGAGACCTTTGCCTAGATGCCTCTGCGGGACCCCACTGCCCATGGAACCCCCACACTGCCCCTGCATGGGTTCCAGGATGGGAGATGAAGATGGGGACAAAAGAGGGCTGTGCTGGAGCGCCCAGAGCTCTGCCAAGGCACCATGTCCTTCTCTGCAGCAATCCCAGCCTGTCTCTGCTGGAAATTTCAAGTTGTTCTGATGGCAGCAAGTTAACAAGATTTGGAAACCAGGTCAACGGAAGGAGCTTAATTAGCTTGCTGAACCGTGGGGATCAGCTCTCATCGTGTCTGCTTTGTTGACTCCTGGGATGGAGGTTATCAATACGGTTTTTGTGAGCCTCGCACCCCTGGTGCTCCCCAGGCATAGGGAAACTTTGCAGCCAAAGTCCCCAAATCAGCAGCATGGAACAGTCCAAGCTGCCCTGCTGTGCTGTACGGCAGCACTGCTTTCTCCCTGCCTGCTTCCCCTCAGCCCTAAAATGACCCTCAGAGCCCCCACTGATGCTGGCTCAGGTCCTCCCACCCAGCCAGCACTGCTCGGTGGGGCAGAGCCAAAGGGGACAGGCAGTGAGCTGGCAGTGTCACTGGCAGTGCAGGCACTGCTCACACAACCTGCTGCCTGTCTTGTCGTGTCACCAACAGCATCTGCTGCCACGACGAGAATAGCAAAGACATGGCAAAGCAAAAGGCCCTCTCTGAGAAAGGAGCGGGAGGGATGCAGGGCCCTCCATGCTACATGAAAACCCCTTTCAATGGAGGCATGGCCATGGCTCGTTTCTCTGAATGGCAGCACAGCTTCTCAGGGCTCTGCTGGCATGTTGTGCTCAGCCCCATCCCTGTTCTCACCCCGGGAGCAGCTCCACCAGGTGATGCTTTATTTTGACAGGGTGTCTCACAAACAAACCAAGGAGCTAATGGTTTGAAACCCTTCCAGGAACTCTGACGTGCTGTCTTTGCTGTTAGTGAGAAACGAGCCCCCTCTCCATCCTGCAGCCAGACACCCTGCGCCCTGTGCGGGACAGACACCGGGGTTTCCTGCGTGGGGCAGCGTTGGATGGCTGCTGGGGGGAACCTCGCTGTCAGAATACCCCCTCCCCACGCCTATGTCCTGGGACAGCATCTCGTTGCATCCTGCACCACCGCAGCCCCGAGCCAGAGGGATGGCAGCACGGCGGTGAGGGCATCTCGGGGATGCCGGTGGCTGCAGCAGGACGCAGGACAGGGCGCGGGGCCGCGGGCAGGCGGTGCCCAGCAGATGGCGGCGGTGCCGCGGCGGAGCCCCTTAGGCATCCCCGGCCCGGCCCGGCCGCCGCCCCCGGCGCTGCCCCCGGTGCTGCCCCTCCCGGCCCGGTCCCGCACGACTCGGCCCGGCTCGGCTCGGCCCGGCTCAGCCATCCTGGGCTGCTCCGCGGGGCGGGGCGGGCGGGCGGGGAGAGGCGCGGCACCGCGCGGCCCCACACCCCGCTATAAGAGCGGAGCGAGCGGCCGCGCTCCGCAGTGCATGGCAGCGTCGGGCCTGGGGCCGTTCCTCCGGGTCGGTCCGGGCACCCGCCCCGCTGCCGCCACCCTGACCTTGGCATCGGGACAGAGCGGGCGGCGCGGCGCTGGGGATGCCTTAATGAGAACGCGCAGGGACCTCTTCTAGCGAGGGGAGAGGCGACCTCCTCCCCGCTATCGGAAGAAAAAGAGGATTTAAAGAGCGGCTTTGCCCCCCTTTGTTGACTGCGAAGGACAGAGGAGGACCGGCAAGATGAGCACTAGCAGTAAGTACGGCTCTCCCTTCCCTTTGCTATGGGAACAGGGCTGATGTTGCGTGGAGCTGGTGGGGAGGAATCGGAAAGAAAATGTGACACCGGGGCTGACACATCGGATGGGCTGGGTATCTTTTTCTCTGCCTCTTGCTTTCTGACAGGGTATGGCTTTGCTAGTGTTCCCTTCGTGCGGGCTGAGCTGTGGTGCTTATCTCCCCTGAGTACTTCTTGGCTTGCATTTCTGGGCTTGGAGGGCAGATCATGCAGTAAAATGTCGATATGCAACATGGTGAGAGGGAGCCAGGAGCACTCTGCCAGGCAGCAGCCACACTTGCTGATGCTTCTGCCCACATATAAATAGCCATTAGGAGAACAGCCAACGGGGATGAGGAGCAGAGGAAAGGGGTACCCAGGAACTGGGGAGCTGAGCAAAGCACAGATGTGGCACAGAAAAGCATGTGCCTTCTGCAGCTGGGGATGTGGGTGTTTCTATTGTGCGCGGGTGAGAGATGGGGACAGAGGCGTTCATGCACTACGTAAGAATTGCTAAAGAAGCAGAGCATAGAAATGTGCTGCATGAGATGAGAACTGGCACTTGCTCCTGGTTTTGCATCCCTGTTGCAAAGTCTGGAAAGATTGATCCAGTCACAGTCAATGTCTTCTCATTGCTGTGAGGGTGTGTGACAGCTGTGTCCACCTTGCTAGCAGACCTCTGGCCTTTTCCTTTAAAAGCACATGGCACCGAGCCCCCAGAGCTGCTGCTGGTTGCCACCTGCCTCCTGGGACAAGGTCCTGTCCCTCCTGAGTGTCCTCACAGCTGTGTGGAGTGAAGAGGCAGAAAGTAGCAGAGCAGTGACTTCTCTGTCCCTTTGGTGTGCTGAGGTTTCTCAACCTGAGATCTTGGGGTGGTTCCCAAGCAAAACACCGTGAAAAATGTCTTGGCATGCTGCAAGCAACAGAACAGGTGATTCCAGATCTGTAGGGCTGTGTTAGAGGTGTGAACGCTTTCCAAGTGCCCTCTGCATGAGCCATGCCTGTGGCAGGAGTGGTGCCCTGCTTGGGGGCAGTGAGGTTGGCAGTGCCCAGGTAGGGACTGCTGGGGACCCCTTTGTTCCCAGCACTATGGGATGCCTGGTAGCAACTGGGTTATGAGTAATGATAGTGGGTCTGGTGCAGAGGACTGCAATGCTTCTCAGTGTTTGCTGGGGTCAATGATTGTGGTGGCCAAGTAGGGCTTTTAGGCTTCTTCTAAGCCAATTCCAACAAATGTGTGTTAGCTCCTCCTGGGGGTTCCTTTCCAGCTCTTAATAGCCAGCTTGGATGCTGACAGTGATAAGGGTTGTTTATGGTGCCAGCGTATCGTAAGTATCTGATTACACCACAAAACTTCACTTATTCCTCTCCCACGTGGGGGGAGTGGTGCCAGCAGAGCCACACGTGCATCCTGCCTGGTGCTCTCCTGCGATTTGATGGGGAGGAGGCCACCAGGTTGGGGGGTGGGGAGCTGGAGCCCCCTGAAAGCCACATCTCCTCCTGCCACCAGCTCACTCAGTGCCCCTGGGGGCATCGCTCAGCCATGCCTTGGCTTCTGAGTTTCCCAGCAGCAGACTGGCACTGTGGGTCTTGCCTGAGCCTTCGGATGGCTTTGCTGAAGTGGTGCCATTTCCCTTTCCCAAGTAGCTACGTGGTTTGGTGAGATGTGGGAAGCTGCTCCAGCTGCAGTTTGCTTGCAGTGCTGTGGGTTAATCACTGGGGGTGGGCACTCCTTGGAACAACACCTGTACAAGAGCTGTGCAAGGCAACAGGCACTACCCTGCTGAGCTTCCAGGCTTTTGCAGACAGCTGAAGGCTCAAAGCAGAGCTTGTCATACCCACATTCTGGCTTGTCTGTTCTTAGCAATGGCATGATCCTCTCCCAGCTGGTACTGAGAGCACGGGCAGGACTGGGGCTTCCACTTGTGTGCTCTATGGCTGCTGAAAGCTGTCTAGCTTCTTCTCTGCCCAGCCTGCAGCCCTCAGGCCTGTGTGTGCCTGCTGGAACCCTTGGCATCCTCTGTGCCATCTGGCTGTCACCCTGCGGTGCCTGGCTATGACCTGCAGTGGCTCTTGCAGCCCTTTTCCAGCAGCTGCTGGCTCAGGAGCTCACTACCACTTGTTGGCTGTGGAGCAGCTCTACTGCTCTCAGCAGGGATTCTCTTGTCTGTGAGGGAGGGCTCTGAAGCAGAAGGGCTGTGCCTGCAGGTCAGCTATGCTCAGCCTCCCAAGCCTGGTCTCTGTCCTGATGCTCGAGATGCTGCTTATGTTGATGTTGGAGGAAAAAGAGAGGATGTCATCACCTTACACAGTGGGACTTGCTTTGCACCCAGGGTTGGAGGACCTCTCCTCTCCCATTGAGCAGAGAAGGCAAAGCCATGTGAAAACTCTGCTGTTAAGGGGCAGAGGAGAAGGCCCTTGATCCTGGGTGTAAACTCATACCCTGAGGCTGCAGAGTGAGAAGACCTGAGGGTGCAGAGTTGTGCTGTCTGGGAACACAGCCTCCTGGCACACGGCTGTGAGCGTTTGGAGGGCACTATGTTGATATTTACATTCACTCTGCTATTTATACTTCCCACTCTGGTTAGCACTGCTAATTGGTTGCAAATGGATTCATGCATTCCTAACCAGGTCCATCAGTGCTGCATTTCTGCCGAAGCTCGATCCTGTGGTACAAAGTTTTGCCCTAGACAACATCCCCTTAAAAATCACTCCAGAACCTCCTGAGCTCTGGGCTCCAACCCTTCCCTGAGTAGCTGGGGCAGGAAAAGCCCATCCATCCCACCCTGCTCCCTTGGAGTGGCTGTCACCTGTTGGAGCATGGGGAGGTCTGTGGGGGCTTTGGTATGTGAGGTGGAAAGTTTCCCCAGACCATCCCATCCTGGCACCTCTCAGATCCCCCTGCAACAGCTCTGCTGGTCTCAGAAGGCCCAGAAAGGAGGTATGAGGAAAAGCCGGCCAGTACGGCGCTTGGGCAGAAAGGCTTCATGACACACTGATGAATGTAACGTGTTTGCCTGGTTATTTTTGTCTTTCCTAAGTCGTGTTCCCTGTTGCATGATGATCCACTAAGCGTAATTACCCAGTAATCTGCAGGCACATGTGGTTACAAGGTGTTTACCAGCAAACTCTATTAAGTCCCTGTGTAATTAAAGAGGAATCACACAGTACCGTGCATCTCCAGGAGCCTCAGCCCTTCCCCATAAGCTCACCAGGTTGGGGAGGTTCTGCATCTCCCACAGAGCAGGGCAGGACGTGCTAAGGAGGCTGTGAAGCTGCTGAAGGACCCATTGATACGATGCATCGAAGTCCTCTCTTCTCCTTGAGCTTGCAGTGCCAAAGAGATCTCCTGCTTTTCAATACCCAGCCCTCTGCTGCCACCAACATCCCAGTACAAATCCTCTCCTTCCTCCTGCGCAGCCAACCAAAGGGACAACTGTCAACGGCATTCACTTCGGTGCCAGAAAATTCAGCGCCCGCGCAGTCTCTCTGTCCCCAGGCTGGTGGATGGTCTTTGGGTGCTCCTGCAAACCCTCTTTCTTGGCAGTTTGCCCTTCAAAGAGCAGAAGCCATGGAAAGTGGCCCTGCAGTCCAATGAAGTGCATGCTGTAAAGTCAATTGAAGCAATTGAATTATTTCAAGGGCCTGCCATGCTCTTATAAAATAAATAGCAAGTTTTCTAATGACAGAGTGACGATTGGTTTAGCCAGATAATTGTATTTGTGATGCCAGCAGGCTGGACTAAAGACAGACTGTCCTGTTATCAGCGTGGTGCTGCCCTTGTGCTCAGCAGAGCTGCGAAGGAGCGAAGGCAAAGCCACCAAGTTCCTGCCAGACCCCGCAGTCCTATCATGATGATGCCATAATGAAGTGCTTGGAACATCTAATCAGATATTTTTAGACTAAATACATCAGTGCCTCTCGGTTGTAAGTGCTGCAGTACCTCTGGAAGGCATCCTGGGGGTGGGCTGGAGGTGGGAGAGAAATGGGATAGGGAGGAGGGTTTTGTGAGGTGGATGGGGACAAGGAGTGACTGCAGCAGGTGGAGGGAAGGCAGAGCTCGACTCCAGATGTTTCAGCCCCAGAAAGCTTGCTCAAGTGCCCTGAAGAACAGCCCCATTGGAAACACTTCCCCTTCCAGAAAAGGGCTGTCTCTGAAGCTTAATAGCACCAAACTGAGCAAGTGTGGCAGCAGACTTGAGCATATGGTTCCCATATATTTGATGGCGGTTCAGATTTTTGATAGGCTGTAGTTGATAGAGGCTTTTTCCAGTTCTGGCATAGCCCGAATGCCTTATCGTTATCAGCCACAAGCCCAGGGCTGGGAATTGACGTGCTTTCTCTGCTGCCTGGGGCAGAGTTCTGAAAGAAAGAGGAGCCAATATGATTTCCTTACGCAGCCTTCCTGACCTTCCTTTTTTCTTACCCGTTTTACCTTGGCAAAGTCCTTCTCTGAGCCTCGAGCATTGCTTGTTTTTCTCTTCTTGCACGTTCTGCTTTACTCCTATCTTGAAATGTTTTTGAAGCTTGGACAATTGGAGAAATCCTCAGGAGGAGGGCATTGCAGAGGAGCGGGAACATGTAAGAGAACAGTACGTGTCTGCAGCCATCCTGCTGACCTCCTTCTTTGCAAGGAGTGCCCCACAGTAGGGAGCACCAGGCTGCCTTGTTGGTGCAGTGCCACCCCGGAGCCCTTCTCAGATCTGAGTCCATTACAATCTGAATTCAGGTTCTGGGGGTTGACCTGTTCTCACAGCAGTGAGCTGCAGCAAGGTTCCTCAGCACAAGGGGATCGTAACCTAGCACAGGACTGGAGGTGTGAGCCCATAGGTGCCCACACCAGGCTCTGCAGTACCACGCCTGCACAGCACATGTAGCATCTCACAGAAGCGCAATGCAAGCGCTGCTCACCTTTCCCACCCCTGTGCTGTGTACCCTCCAGCCCTGGAGGTGTTGCTTCTCCTCATACATCCATTCTT